ATTTTGATGTTAGGGGTACGCTTATGGGAGAAAAATCCAAACATGCGTTTTTAAAAAAATTTTTTGCAAGCTAATAATTTTTTTCACGCAAATTCATCATCATGTATGTACTATAATTATGTCAATTAAATACATTTGTAAACATAAATTAATGAATTATTTATTGATATATAAGACTCGAATTCGATTCAAGGCTTCGTTAGTGAAGGGTATTATATAATTATGATTACGAGTGCATAAACTTAAAATTACACAGAAACTTATTTACATATTTTTTGAGTTTTTCTTAGTTTAAGAGGAAAATTAAATAAATACAAATTCAATAATTCATGCCTGGACAAACTTTTTCACTAATTTTGTGCAAGTTGTGATCTGGTATGTGCTAGCGAAATTCAAATCTGTAACTATTATTCATTCACCCACGATAGACGTCGATTTTCCACTAAACATCCTAAACTTGGACACCAACATTTTCTTGGAGGTCATGAACTTCACAATATTTCTCTTAGATTCACCACCAAACTGGAAACAGAAATATGTAATACCAAATTATTCACATCTGTTCAATATTAAGCAATTCATATGTACAATAACTCACAGAAAGATAAATGGTCACCCGGTCCATTCCATCCATTGCGATGAGCAGCTCCTTAAACAGATCCATTTCCCCCTCCGTCAAATCCCGGATAACATTGTCCCCACCGTATTTCGAAATTTCCAACGTTGTCAGCCCTGAAGAGTTAATTTAGCATACATATTAATCTGCGAAAATACACAAATTCAAAACCTCACCCTTATACAATTCCCTCCCCTCCAACAACTCTGTAAAAACGCGAAATGTTTCTGCTCGATTAGACACCGGCAGCCTTAAATCCAAATGCTTCAAGCCCTTCCAACCCCCACACGCCTTGAGTACGACGCCCAACTTCATCCTATCCCCCACCCCGTGGAAGAATGTCTTCAACAACAAGCTCTCCAAGGAGGGAAACGTCGTCTTCAATCCTTCCAAAAGTTGGGGATCCTGCAACTCCAGAATCTTCAAGTTTCTCACTCCCACAAAAACCCGTTTCGAGTCGATAATCTTTTGTAAAATTTGATGCAAACAAGTCCCCGGTTTTACGGTTTTTCCAATCACCAGCGTTTCCAGGACTGGCATTCTGTCGAGATCTTGCAAAACGTCGTTATACGGAAAAATGTCGATAGCCACGTTCTGAAATTTTTTCAACTTTGGCATCCTTCTCGGTAACTCTGCCAGAGTCCAGGCCTCCGAGCCGAATGCGCCTGGGATGTGATTGTTCTCCTCGAAACAAAGCGTGACCAACTGGTCACTAACTTGATCTAATGTGTGGGACAGATCAGCAGGGTTGAAGCCAACGACGTCAAGTGCTCTCAGGGTAGTCAGTCCTATCGTTAAGGAGGAGAGATGCTTAGAATTTGCAAAATCTGGACAAAATCCCCACGGAAGGGTGACCTCTCTCAAATTTGGGGCGGCGTTGACAATTCCCTGGACAAAACTGGTCAGAGGAAAGATCGGGGACTTTTCTATCCAATATGAGAACTTGAACAAGGTCAAGTTAACTTTTGGTGGCAGTGGGGCCGACAAAATTTCCTCCAAATTTCTAGAACGTCTAAATTCACACTCAATTCGGACCTGTTTTAAATTCGGGCAGCAATTTGATAAAACTTGATGGATATATTTGAGACAAGCTGGATCACTGATGGAAAGGTCTAAAATTTGCAGTTTCGCTAAATTTGTCACAAAAATAGGTCAGCCTTGAGGTGAAGGTGACGATGATGAGAGGGGAGATCGGCCTGGGAAGGGCAGGGCAGGTGGCGCTTATCCGTTTAGCAAGGCGCTTATCCAAATTGAAACTTATTCCGAAAAGTGGGAACGAATCTTCGCTTCCGCCCCATTTGTAGTGCAGGTTTAATCCAAGCTTCGAATTTGGAAGGGAGAGGACCATCTCGTTCCAAAATTTGGAAACTAGTCGCGCAGTTTTCAACGATTTTGATGTCCGCTTTAACATTTCTGTCAAAATCTGCAATTTTTTAGAAAAATATTACAATTTTGTTATTCATAATTTTGACATTATTCGGCTTACGATTGGATTATTTAGTGCGATCTCTTCCACACTGAGGGGCTCCATTGGAAATCCGAGTTAAATTGCTGAAAAAAAATTATCTGTTAAATAAAATTCACGTTTTATAATTTGTAAATTACAAATTATTTAAAATTTATGGACTTTTTCATAAATATCCTCCCCTAATGCACGTCACTTTCACCTTGATAAATTGGCCGGATTTGTACAAAGAAATTAATTTATCGATAAATAACTGGAGAAAACCAAAGTGAAAATTTTCTATTGCATTGGACAATATTTGCGACTATTTAATTCAAGCCAAGTGTTATCATTCTCTCGAGGTGAAATTCAAGATCGTCAAAACTAGTGGGGCAGAGTGAGAATGTTTCTCCTTATTTCTTCTCGTAAAATGTCAAACAGAATCACATCACTGATGTTTTGTGTTCTTGATGACAATCTTGCTGCGCAATTTAAATAAATATATACAAAATTTACATCTTTAAAATTTTTCCAAAAAACACACACAATCCGTTCCCCTCTCTCCACTCGTTGCTGAACATTTTGGCGAAATACTCACTTCGACAGGTCAGAATAAACTTGTGCGCTGTGATGGTTTTCCTCTCCACGGAAAACGTAACGTCTGCATTTTCCTGTAAAATGCAAAACAATTTTCATTAATTTTTCATAAATTCTCACTTTAATTTATTCCCCACTAACCTTCGTCCTCCACAAGTTGGCAATGTCACCACCCAACGTGCGTGGTTTAGCTTCTCCAGCTCTAGACGCTCCAATAGTTCGATTGGTTACCTCGGAAATGTCCGTAACAGCTTCGTCAATCGAATTTGTCAAACTTGGCTCAATGCTAAACTCCTGCTTAACCAAACGGCACCGAAAACGTGACTTATTCTTCAGCTCGACAACCAAAACATCTCTCGCCCAACAGGTTGCGATGTCTTGGATGATGGGAAGATGTGGAATCGTCGCTACCCTCGTCCAAACCACCGACCTCTCAGGGTCTTGAACCCTCAACCAGTACACTTGATCATCAACAGTCAAGGCGAAAAAAATAAGATTTCAACACAATCATGTACATATTTATATTATATCACGTTAATATGTGCACCAACAAATATTACCTTCGTCACTGGTGGACTGCTCAGATCTGACATGCGTGGCCTGATTGACCACTCGACCCACTAGAAAATCTGATGGAAAGGCACGTAAAAATTAGTTCCATGCCTAAATGTCATTAATTTTATCTTACTTTTCCATCCGCCGTCAGAGCGAGAATCTGGTCGGCACTGGAGACCACGGAGATGACCTCCTTCCCCTCAACATTGCCTTTGGAAATCGTCTCAGGCACGCCACCGGCACGCCCCCCCCATTGGTGCATCTCTCCACCCACAGTTAGTGCCACGACACGGCAATAATTTCCCACTTCTTCTCCCGGGATGGCCACTTGCACCACTTTCTGCCCTGTCAGACTCCCAGTGACAAGACCAGGGCGACCAGCTGACTCTATTTCTTCCCCTCGTGGAGAAACCAAACGGCCTAATTGCTTCGTGCGGTCGTTATTTGGGAGGAATTTAATGCACCACGAGTAGAGTCGACCATCCTCTGTTACAGCCAGGTTAATTGATCCAGTGAAAAATTCTGGAAAGTGCAAAAATTAAAGAATTTTTCCTTAAAATAATGACAATCAGGACGTGATGTACCTTTCACACGGGCGCTACAAAGTTCCGGAATTCGGGTAATTTTAATATCAGACTCCCCCTTAGTATAGGAAAAGGAGTACGTCTCGTCCTCCATGGTGACGATGAATCCTTCCGAGTCGTTGACATGTGCCAATTTCGCAGACTTCAAAATCTTCTCTCCTTCCGGTTCAAGGTCAGTAAATACTACCAAATTGGTCAACCTACTTCTAGGGATGACACCACCGCTAGACGGGGTGGATGGTTCCATACTTGTGACAACCAAAAAATTAACGAAACGAGTTAATGGCGAGAACAAATTTGGTAAATTTTTAATGTGTAATGAGCAAAAACAAAACAAAAAAAATCCAACCAGATCAACCCAGATTCGTGTCAGCGAGCCAAGTTGTGGGGAAATTGAGACAGAGATTCCGTCACAGAATTATATGCTTCACGGCCACACTTGTAACTTTGGGGTGACGTGCCGTGCTGCGTGCCACCGAGTCGAAAAATTCTGCGTGCGGTGCCACGTGCCATTGATGGCACCGATTGTCACGACGTGCTATTCGATCTCGACGAAATAAATTACATTTTTTTTAGCTTAACGAGCTAATCATCATGTACATCAATGATAATAAAAAATTGCAAAATATTTTGAAACCGAAATGCTTCCTCAACGTGGAATTTTACATTGAAGGATAGACAGCGTGTTAACATTACGGGATAGGGAATGTCCCCCCGATGACGTCATCTTCCGCCACCGCTGCATATGGGGGAGTCAACTTACCAGAATAAACTTGAATGTTTTTTTCATACAATATTTAACATAAACCGATACATTTTTATAGCATCTGTACGAGATAAGTAATGTTAATCTTCGAACTCAAGGTTTCTTAGGTTAGTACTCCGAATCACATGCAAAATTTGCTCAGAAAATTCGAAATTTCGGGGAGCTATTGCGGTCTCATACAGACAAATGGACGGACGACCATACCCTTTCCATACTCGTAAAGTAATTTCGTCCCTCCATCATGCAGTTCAATATAATTTACTGATTCCGGATAACGTGTTTTTTTGCAGAGTAGATTTTTTAAATAAATTTCTCATCAAATAGAATGACTTGAACGAATCTAATAATGTGCGAATAAATAAATTAATCTCCATAATCAACAACTCGTTTTTCTCGATCCTGGATACATTACAATTTATTCGAAAAATTTGACAGAAATTAAATTAAAATTCTTGTTGGACCCCTCGATCGCGAACTATGGAGCAATGATATATGGCAGCCATCGCCAATTTTTGGAATGCTTCCATCCCCACCAAGTCAATAAGCTCTTGAGGCGATGATTTGTCGGCGAGAAGTCCATTTTCGAAAATATACTGGACAACAGTGCTCTCCAAGGCCTGGAATGATAATGATGACCTACTTATTTATCAAATTAGGACAACAGACCGACTCAAATTTCATACCGAGGCATTCGCGGAGGCTGCATTTCGCACGAGGAAGAAGGCATTATCCTCGTCAATGTTGTGGATCAGAATCCTCTCACATTCACGCCGGATGGTAATGTCGCAATATGAGTCCGCTAATTTCATGAGGTCTGGAATGCAAAATATGTGTGTTAGTCGAACTAATTTTTGCCCAACTCTGTCATAAAGATAGAGTTGGATTACATTTTTTTGTAATTCGAAATTTTGACTCAAATTGAAATTCTAGAAAGTGATAGTTGAAATTTTAGGGTAACAGTCAAGAAAATTTACCAAAAATGTTTTCATACTCGTCATCCAAGAACTTGACCTCGTCGTGGTAAATGTAGAAGAGGAAGGCTTCAAAGACGTCGTGCTTCGTGTCCTTGATCTCAATCTTGCTGCGCAGTTTCAATAAATATGTACAAACAAAACTTAAATCTCCAAAATTTTCCAAAAAATACTCACGATCCGTCCCCCTCTTTCCACTCGTTGCTAAACATTTTGGCGAAATAATCACTTCGACACGTGAGAATTAATTTGTGCGCTGTGATGGTTTTCCCCTCCACGGAAAACGTAACGTCTGCATTTTCCTGTAAAATGTACGACTTTCATTAGTTTTCCATAAATTTTCACTTTAATTTATTCCCCACTAACGTTTGTTCTCCACAAGGTGGCAATGTCACCACCCACCGTGCGTGGTTTAATTTCTCCAGCCCTGGTCGCCCCAATAGTTCGACGGGTGACGTAGTACATGTCCGTAACATTGTTTATAGAATTTGTGAAATACGGTTCAATTTTAAACCCCTGATTTACCAACTCGTCCCTAAAGAGCGACTTATTCTTCAGCTCGACAACCAAAACATCTCTCTTCCAACAGGTTGCGATGTCTTGGATGTTGCGAAACTCTGGAGACGTCGTCACCTTCGACCAAACCGACGTAGTTGTCGTTCCAGATCCTTGATCCATCCACCAGTACAAGTTTTCATCAACAGTCAGTGCGAACAAGGCTTTTCTTGACGCTACAATCTGTACCCAAATAAATACAAAAATTTCAACCCAGCAGTGTACGTATTTATATCACGATCACACAAAAATTACCTTTGTCACCGGTGTGCTGCGTAGATCCGACCTACATGGCTTGTATGAACTCTTTCCCCACTGAAAAATCTGATGGAAAAGCACGTAAAAATTAGTTTCCTGCCAAAATGTTGCTGTTACCTTACCCTTCCATCCTCCGTAAGGGCGAGGGTCTCCTCAAAACTACATACCACGGAGATGACCGCTTTGCCTTCAAAATATCTTTTGGAAATCGTCTCCGGTACTCCGGAATTGCCCCCCCATTCGTGCACCTCTCCACCTCCAGTTAGCGCTACGACACGGCCCACTCCTTCGCCCGGGATGGCCACTTGCACCACTTTCTGCCCCGTCAAACTCCCCGTGACAAGACCAGGGCGACCAGCTGACCCTATCCCCTCCCCGCCACGTGGAGAAACCAAACGGCCTAATTGTTTGGGTGTGTGGTCTTGTAGGGAGAAATTAATGTTCCACGAGTAGAGTCGGCCATCCTCCGTTATTGCGAGGTTAATTGATCCAATAAAAAATTTTGGAAAGTGGAAAAATCAAAGAAATTGTCATATTTTTTAAAAATAAAATACATAAAATAATTACAATCATTACCTTTCACCTGGACCCCACAAAGTTCCGGAATTCGCGTAATTGTAGCGACAGAACTGAGCAAATCATCATTGGAAAAGGAATACGTCTCGTCCGCCGTGGTGACGACGAATCCTTCCAAGTTGTTAACATGTGCCAATTTCGCAGTCTTCAAAATCTCCTCGCCTTTTTGTTCAAGATCCGTAAATACGTCAAACTTGGTCAACCTGTGCATAGGAATGACCCCACCAGGCGTGGATGGCTCCATGTTAGTTAACTTTTAATGAGCGAAAACAAAACAAGGTAAAAAGTTTATTTCCCTTAACTTGAGCACACGTTTAAGTCGAACCGCTATACTCTCAACAATTTACCCAGTTCATCTGGCCAAAAAAATCAGCCGGGATTCGTGTCAGCGAGCCAAGTTGTGGTGTGGAAGTTGAGACAGAATTACATAAATGATTCAAGTATTTAAAATTATGCAGCTTCAAAGAGCAAATTCTAAAACTCGTGAAAAATTGGATTTTATTTTTCAAAAATTGAAAGAAATTAAATTTAATCTGAAATTAAGAAGTAAAATCATTGTTGAATTCCGCAATCGCAAATTATGGACGAAATGTAGCCATGGCCTATTTTTGGAATGCTTCCATCCCCACTAAGTCGATCAACTCTTGAGGCGGTGATCTTGCAGAAAGGAGTCCCTTCTCCAAAATAAACTTGACCACCGTCCTTTCCAAGTCCTAAAATGATAACGAATTTACCAAATCTTCACAACAAATTTATATAAATTTCGTACCGAAGCGTTCGCCAAGGCCGCGTTTCGCACGAGGAAAAAGGCATTTTCCTTGCTAACGTTTCGAATCAGAATCTTCTCGCATTCCTGCCGGATGGTGATTTCGCAATAGGAGTCGGCCAACTTCATGAGGTCTGGAATTAAAATAATTACGTCATAACTCATATTTTTCTGGCCCAGATATTTGCCTCATTAAAAAATTTCAAACAAAATAAAATTGTTTCAACTTTAAACTCTTAATGGTAATAAAAAAATAGAGTTGCAATTTTAAGGTAATTATTAAACAAAATTGACTCTCAATACCAAAAATGTTTTCATACTCGTCCTTCGCAAATTTGACCTCCTCGTGGTAAATGTAGAAGAGGATGGCTTCAAAGACGGCATACACCGTGTCATTGATGACAATCTCGCTGCGAAATTTCAACGTAATTAATTGCATTTTTCTAAACCTGTAAAAAAATTAAAATATGTACTTACGATCCGTTCCCCTCTTTCCACTCATTGCTTAACATTTTGGCGAAATATTCACTTCGACATGTCAGAATAAACTTGTGCGCTGTGATGGTTTTCCCTTCCACGGTAAACGTAATGTCCGAGTTTTCCTGTAAAATGTGCAATTTTTATAAATTTACCATTATTTTGGATCCATTCTCCACTAACCTTTGTCCTCCACAAGTTTGCAATATCACCACCCAACGTACGTTGTTTAGCCTTCATTGACGCTCCAAGAGTTCGATAACTTATCTGTGCAAGATCCGCGAGTACCTTGTCAATTGAATTTTTGAAATATGGCTCAATCGTCCACCCTATCGGAGCCAAATGACACCCAAAGAATGACTTATTCCTGGCCTCGACAACCAAAACATCTTGTATCCAACAGCCTACGATGTCTTCGACATTAGCCAAATCTGATATCCGGGTCCAATCTCTCATTTTAGATCCTCGCGCCCTCCACCAGTGCACGTTTCCATTAACCGTCAACGCCCAAAAAGTCCGGTTTGTCGCCACTATCTGGACCAAATTTCCAAGTCAGTTACATAAATGGATACATAAACCTACAAAATTACCTTGATCACTGGTGGGCCGCACAGTTCCGATCGGTGTGGCGGAGCAAATGTCCCCAATCCCCACTCAAACAGCTGGTGAAAAAAAAAGATGGAAAAATTAGTTTCGTGCCCAAATTGCATACAATTTGCTTTACCCTTCCGTCCTCCGTTAGGGCCAAGTTGTGGTCAACACGGCAGGCCACAGAGATAATCTTCTTCCCCCCAAAACTTCCCCTTGGCATGGGTCGCGGAACCCATGAGGGGGGACCCCATTCGTACACCTCACCACTTACAGTTAACGCTACGACGTGACCTCCTTTTTCTCCCGGTATCGCAACTTGCACTACTTTCTGCCCCGTCAGACTCCCCGTGACGGGGGCAGGGCGACCAGCTGACCTTATTCCCTCCCCGCTTACCCGGCCTAACTGCTGGACTTGCTCACGATCTGGGTCAGAATTACTGCACCACGAGTAAACCTGACCATCCTCCGTTATCGCCAAGTTTATCGATCCAATAGCAAACTCTAGAAATAAATTTGGACAAAACCTCGTTTAACTTTTTGCATGTAAAATAATTTGAATAATTTCCCCGTCTACCTTTCACTTGGACTCCACAAAGTTCCGGAATTCGGGTAGTTTTAACTACCTCCGACGACCCATCATCTGGTTCTTCAAGGGTGAAGGCGTAAGTTTCGTCCGCCGTGGTGACGACGAAGCCTTCCTGGTTGTTGACATGTGCTAATTTCACAGTCTTCAAAATCTCCTCGCCTTCCGGTTCAACTTGGTCAAATACATCCCAAATCGTCAACTGGCTTGTGGGAATGACACCACTGGATGGCTCCATGTTGCGAGGGACCAAAAACTTAAAGTTATAAAAATGGATGGAGAGAATCAATTTAGTTAATTTTTAATGTGCAACAACTTGCAACTAGACACTGTCTAGTAGACAGGACAAAGGAGAAAAAATCACCAGATCAGCCGGAACTGGGATTTAATGTCATGTCAACGAGCCAACTTGTGGTGGGGAAGGTGAGAATTATATGATTAACAATTATTTAGTTAAAACACGGGCAACAAATTTTTAGAATAGTGAAAAATTACAATTTTATTTGAAGTAAAACTATTGTTGAATCCAAAAATCGCAAATTATTTAAGAAATACGGCCACTGCTAATTTTTGGAATGCCTCCACCCCCACCAAGTCGATGAAATGATGAATTTATTTGAGTCGATTTTCAAGAATAAACTTGACAACAGTCCTTTCCAAAACCTGAAAAATTATGAGTTACGTAGTTAATGTCTTGACCTTTTGACCTTGGCTATTGATCTCGGAATCTTGTACCACAAAGCCTAAAATAAACATTTCAATTTGACATATTCAAAGAACGACAATAAAGAACGTAATAAATAGGAAATTGACAATTCACACTGAGGTCGACTTTCTAAAAACAAATAACTAAAACTTTTTTAGAATTTTTAGAATTTAGCTATAAAAAACCTGCAGTGTGCAGTTTTGATTTAGCCTGAGTCAGGCCTATAGATTCGACTATTTTGGTACTATCGTAATAGTCTAGGAATAATGTCTAGGAATAAGTTCTAAATTGTTATAAGTTGCTAGGTATAACTTATTCAATAAAATTGTGTGGTCACGAGTAACCCGATTTTGTTTAAAAATTGTCATTAATATTCCACAATATATAGGGAAACGTACAAATATGTTACAAATATTATAATTACGACGTTTACAAAATTACAAGCTCGAGACTCAAGTCGCACTGGCATATTTTTAACCCTACATACATATTTTCTTTTTGTACCCTTTTTTGAAATAAAAGTCGTAAAAAACTAAATGACAAGTATCACGTTGCGGTGTGGATACCATACGAAATATTTTGCCTGTACACTCTAGGACCTCCAAGGGGAAAAACACTGGGTACAAGCATATTTATGTATGTATGCAATTAGGTTGGATCTTTTTCTACCTTTTCACCACGGGGTTCACAATGAGAGATGCATATGTACATACTAGTACGTTTATAAACGAAACAGTAAACTGGTCTACTTTTATGAAAGGCTTAACTTATTCTTAAATACTAGCTTCGCACTACTTTGGCGTAGCCAAAGCCTCCCCAGCATATTTGTTAGGAATTACACATATCGCTTAAATATAGGACCAGACTCATTTATACAGGAAGTAAATAGGTATCAGTACATGCAAATTTACACATTATCCACGATACAAACTAATTTTATAAAATATTTAACTCTACTTCAAGAATACGACTGCACACAAATATGTACATACATAAACAAGCATGCGGAAAAAGAAAAAAGAACTCATAAGTGAAGGCTATTCTACAAAACAAATTAAAATGGAATGGAGCAAAAAAGTTGTGCGAACAAATGACATGGTCTTCAAAATCAAGGATGGTGCTATATTCGCTAATAACTGCAAGTGGGAGTCAAAGTTCCCAATTACCCTCAACATCACAAAATATGGAAATGTAAGAACGTTAATCCCTCCTGACTTGAAGAAGGATTCAGTTTCAAATCTACAAAAATGAATCTCATCTAAAAATTGAGAGAAAAATCTTCGCCAAATAACTTGATATATTGTCTATCGTAATGTCATGGTATAAGTCTGAATTTAAAGTGTGTATTTAAAGTAAATATGTATTTAATCATCATAACATTGTATCTGAAAATATTTTTAAGCCTGAAAATCCAACTAAAATTCAACAAATCAATTATTGTCGTGTTTATCGACATCCAAGGTCTAAATCTAATAATTATATGCCCACTAAAGGATAGAATATTGTCGACCTAATCATAATTATTATACTTAATCCAAAAATCAATTTCTACATAAAAAACACAATTTTCTTCGTGTAACCCTATAATGTCTTGTCATACATATAAATAACCTATTTCTATTTTATTCAAGCTATGTATTGTTTTTTCCTTAAGACGTAATGACCCAGTCAACTGGGGTGTCTTATTGTATTAAATAAATAAATAAATAAAAATAAATATGTATGCATGCATGTACATAAGTACTTTACATGTTAATATGGTTTACATATGCATACACGTCAAAGGGTTCAGTTTAGTTATGCTTAATTTTAAAATGTTATAAATAGTTACATGCCTTAGTTCAAGTCCAGGATTAGTGGCTGTATTCAAATTTAGGACCGAAGTTTTCGGTGCATACATATGCGCATATATGTACGTGTAAGTTAAGTAATCAGTGAACTTACACGTCACACCGGCATACATATTTTGTTCCAGTTTCATTCACACCTTCTAAGTCAAAATTATACACAAATTTCATTTTCGAGTCTGGTAAAATAAGCCATGACTTCACCCAAGTCAACCAATTTGTCCATTAATCTAGCTCTAGGAAATTCTCTGGTAGGTCGAATAATTACAAAAGTTTCACAAGTTGTCGACACTTAATTCGAATTTCGACGCAAGACGAATTATTCGTTTACTTTTTATACAAGTAATAAATAATCTAAAAAATTCCATAGATTCTCCACGGAATCTTTGCTCACTTGAGAAGTTTGAGAACCAATGATTTGAAGGAGGTTAGAAAAGTGTCAAAATTCTGGGAAAACGAGGCAAACAAGATTTTTCGGAATAAGAAGACGATATTTTTTTACATTCGTTACTACAAATTCCTCCTCAAATTGGGAGGTTCAAATCCCGATTATCCCCTAAATAGCGACCTCCTACGCCACATTTCGGTCGCCTCTAATATCGCCAGCATACCGTGGTACGTCAGCACGGACGATATTCAACATGTCCGCGATCCTTTATTTCAATAGAGTTTCGCTAATTTCGTTGCAAAATATGAAGACAAATTTCATGAAATTAATTTCTCAATGTACGACAATCTCTACACGATGTTTTCTCTCCTTCAGAACGTGAAATTTCAAAATTTGAAATCTCTCACAACTCATGTCTTCAAAATAAAGGGTGATTTATCACCACAACACGAAATTTGCGAATTGCAAGCCAACTTCAACATGCCTAACCTGAGGTGCTTAAACATCCATAATTTCTTCGAGATGTCCGAACCTGGAATCAGTTATCACTCCGGGAGTGATAACTGATTCCAGGGAGTGACACTCCCTGGCCTCGAAAATTATTAAGTAGTCCTTAAACTTGGAGAATTTGAAGATATGTGATGAAACCAATTTCTTCCCGGATTTGTCATCTTGCAAAAAACTGAGGTATTTCAAGTGGAAATTTCTCCCGTTCCATTCAAACACGAACTTGTAAGTCATACGTTAAATATTATCTAAAAAAAATAAATATAATTTTGTACTTATTTTATTTTTTTAAATTTTTGTTTCAAAATTTCAGTCCACAATTCAGTAATGATGTCATAATTCAAAAAATTCTCGACATGTTGACTCAGGTTTCCGAATCGCTAGAATATTTCCAGGCTGCTGTGGCAAGGCCGTTCGAGGAGCCTTGGTTGAAGGTGGGTCCAAATTTTATATTCTACTATAAATAATACGGTCAGATGGGTTTGACCCAGGAAATTGAAAACTATGCCACTTTCAGTCCTAGATTCCCTTTAGTTTAATTAAAAGCCTTCTGAGCCTCCAAGTGGCAAGGTTTCTCAGAAATTTTAATTTCCGTCATGGCTCAACTCTTCGTGAACCATGTAATTTAAAACTCGCCCAAGTCACGAAAATTTCCCATCACAACACGCTTAGCAAATTTGCATTATTTAATTTCGCAAGTTTTGCAAAACAGTTTATTTTATTTAGTTTCCAGGCATTTTATGTATGTATGTACGTCGTTAAATCTTATCTTGCCAAATAAGTAAAATTATGTTAATTTAAAAAAAAACATATTTATGAGAAAAAATATAACTCCTCCAACCGAATACATAAATTCGTTTTACCCCAAAACACCTCAAAGTACGAATTCCTATAAGTCGCGTTGTTTTGTGCATATTTTCTGGTTTGGGATATGCGAATAATTTCTTGAGTACGCCAATTTTTTTGCTCTAATTTCGTATTTTTGCCATACACGCGTCTGAAACAAATATTAATTTCCACAGGTTGACCCCACCAGATTCGTATTTCCAACAATGAAGAAACTCACTTATTTATTCCTCCCCACTGTGGACATGTTTGACCTCGGATTCGCAAAATTGACCCAGAATGACCTCCCGAGTTTAAAGCGGGTTGAGCTACTCATAGCTAAATATACCTTCAGAGGTACTCGATTTCTCGGGAATTACTTTACCAACGGATTTTCAAGAGCATTATGGAAAACTGTAGAGGATCTCAGATTGAAATGCTTCGACATAAATTGCGATACATCGGAGCACATTTGGTTCAGAATTTTGCAGATTTTCCCAAATTTGAAAAACTTCGAGGTGCAAATTTATGGACCGATGCAGATTCCAAACAAAATGGCGGAATCCTTCCGAAATTTGACGATCTGGTGATATTCGACGTGATGTATGGACAAGACCCTCTATTGGCCGCCGGGATCGAGAGGGAAGCATGCGCGACGACGACGACGACGAAGTCATGCGCAAGGTCATGCGCAACGACGACGCCGTCATGCGCAAGGTCATGCGCGATGACGACCAGGAGAAGGATCATCGCTGGAAGCGGAATCCCTGTGTGGAGGGAAGAACTTTTTTTTATAAAAGGACTGCTGCTCGTACATACATAAATAAATTTGTGTAGTGAACAATTAAATATGTAAATTGAATTCTCTTGGCAAATTTATTCACTTCTCTTGCATGGTATGCAAAATAAAACTGTAACACAAATCTTTTAGCTAATGTATATGATTTAAGGTTTTTTAAATAAAGAAATGTTGCTACATACATCTACATACATCTATTTATGAAAATGGCAGTTTTCTGCACACGCTGCCTTATCAGAGAGCTGCTTCCTCGTCGCCGCC